GCTCACCTTTTCGCGAACACCTGGTATCCTCGCTATGTGACATCACTCATGAAATAGTCGGAGTCGTACAGTGGACGCTGCTTTAAGAAGAATTTTTTATTGTTATGGAAATGTTTTTGTTTTTTTTTGTCGTTTTTATTCAACAAGAAAGTGGATGCGTTATTTCCCCAAGCCAGTTGAGGACGTTTGCAGCTATTCGAAGTCAAAGCAAGGTAGTTGGAATACTGCGAGGAATACATGGACCAACAAATCGTCCTGAAATGTCTTCAACCAGAACAGTTTTCATCAATGTCCCTGCTGTTAAAATCTGTTCAAATGAATGTAACAGTCATATACTAACAACCCACAACCGCGACAGTACATTTGTTCACACATCAACTGGTGCAGTTTTTGTTTTGTTATATATTTCAATATTCATCACACAAAGAAAATAGCCTCATAAAGCTAAAATTGACACACAAGTATGACACAAAAGTACGCGAGCATGAATAAATAATGTTTTCAGGCTATCGCGCCAGGTGACATAAAAAGTAACGATAAAAATATCGAACTTTTTATTGAGTGTCGTATATAAATATTATAACGATTATGTTGTTTATGTGTTGATTAACGCCGTACTAAATGATCTAGTCTGGACCAGACAACCCAGTGATTGATGTCATGAGCATCGATCCACGCAATTGGGATACGACCTCAAAGTCAGGAGTCTGACCACCCGATTCCGTAAGCCGCATGGGTTCTTGCAGACCAATTCTAACACGGGTCCTAAACCGTCCGGAAGCCCATCGGTGTATGATATATTTTTTTGTTCAAAATATTAATTAAAAGTGCTAGAAAATTTGCCGTAATCATGCTCAATGTGCTCGAGTGAAATCACATTTTTACTGACAGCGAGAAAATGGTAGTTGCTACCTTCAACTTCCGGTTTGGCATGGACAGCGCTTACCCCTTGTGTCACATGATTCTGGCTCGTTCAAGGGACGAAGCTGTGCGCAACGCATTGCCGATTCTGAGGCGATCTGGTAACCTGTGCCACCCCTGGTGGAAGTTTACAATTCAAAATCATAAAACAACATTTTGACACACATATTTTGTAGTTAAGCAAACTAATATAGTTGTCTAGAATCGGTGGTTGATGATAGGAGACAAAAATATATTAAAACCAAGCATAAAATCTGCATCTTAATCCCAACATAGTTGATACCACCGCTTCAATGAGTTTGGATTAGAAGTATGTTTCTTTTGCACACGGTGTCGTGATTTCGACGCTGATATAGACCTATATCACTGAAGGGTAATAACGGACGCTAGTCCGCTAGTCCGGGACTAGTGGCAGACTAACAGGGCTACATGTTGTGTCCCTGAACCTAGTTATGCTACATCAAAATACTGCTGAACTAGTTCCTGTCTTAGTTCCGCTGAAGAGAACAGTATGCAGTGCTGCTCCCCTTAGCAATGTCAGGATGCGCTGATTAATAATCACTAGCTTGACAGTTGCTTCCCGATTAGTCAATATGTTGTAGAAGGCATTAGCGATTTGTGTGATAAGTGACCGACATCATGCATATTTGCTTCATTTAAAAATGAACAATTCGGAATTGCAAAAGGTGTCTCTGGAGTATATATATACTGTTTAGAATAAGTAAGCTGACGAATCTCGCCGGCTCCCCAAATAGCACAAGGCACTTCAACCCCTGGTTACAACCTGTACCAAGTGGATGAAAATTCTTTCGCGCTTTTCAAGTTATGCTCCGGAAACGAAATACGGACGACAGACAGACCAGATGATGACTTTATACGTATTTAAGCCATTGGGTTAACAATGAGTTGTGCTGTCATATCAACAGATAAACACTCATTATAAATGATAAATCTACCATGACACTGAAGAAATCTTCGTTCTGATTGGTCAAAACAGGATTAAGATAAAACGGTTTCAAATTCCATTTGCTACCTCTAAATTAACAAGCTTATTCACGCAAATTAACGTGCGTATGAATACATCTATCGATAGCCTACATATAACAATGGCTGCCGATAACCAAACGGAACTGTATACGTTCGGAACATTATCGGATGTTTTTGTCACTATTACTGGTACATCAAAAACAACAACATAAACACACAAAGAAACCAGATTGTATTAGATACATCTTCGTTTATAGCTAGAATAGAGTTGAAGCTGGACGCACGTGCGGTTACCGAACACCTCAAAGATATTTTACGTGCTCTTCTTCCACGTATCGAAAAAGAGGAAAAGGGAGCAGTAGAAGAAGATGTATTGTACATAAACACCCACAAGGGGGGGGGGGGGGGGGGGGTGTAAAAACATGAACAGGACTTATAATGGAAAGTTACAAACATTGACATACACAATGGAAATACATAATTGCTATGGTTAAGGTCTAGAGAGGAGATGCAGATTATCTTTGCATGAACATTTTGTAAATGAAGTAGGAGATACTTTTTGCAGAAGCCGCTGGTGGATTTGGTAGTATTGTATTTTAAGTGGTATTTGGTGCAAAGCTGAGGCGGTTGATGATATTAGTTCCAGTCTCAGATCTTTGTAGAGAGGGCTTTTCAACAGAAAGTGTTCCTCATCTTCTATTTCGTTTGTTTAACAGAAGGTACATATTCTTTCTGCTGATGGAGTGTTCAAGCATCTTCCTCTCTAAATTTAAAACCCGTGAGCACGGAGCCTTGTAGCCGCTTTGCGGTGTTCTAATGAGGTGGCTTCATTTCCAGTTTGTTTCCTATTGTCTGAGCTGATTGTCAGTTTCACTGAGGTATACGCAGTTGAACTTTTCATGCACAGTTTCCTTAAATTTTCCAGGATAAATGTTATAGTGAGCCGGATCAGAGAAAAGATAGTTGAGTAGAATTTTTATTGAAGAGGTCCATGGGTTCACTAATCTTGTCTTCGTTGAAGGCGACAGTGAGTAATCTGCCATTCTTCAAATCTAATAGCCGAAGGTAATAGTTGTACATTGATAAGAATATTGTAATGTTCAGGGGATAGAGTCCGTGTTCTGCCAGACAGCCGATGTTATACTTGTTCTCCGAGGAACTTCTAAATTTCCCTTTACAATGTTGAGAGTGAATGGATTTGCTTCCTGTTAGGCCAGTTTTGTAGAACGTCCAGTGTTTGACTTGAGTGTCCAACACCTCCAAACCATGTGTTGCTGCTATTGGCTCCACCCGTGCTTCATGTAGACGTAATAAGGATATAATAGACGAAGAGGAATCCGTTGTAATATTAGGTTTGTTTGTTGTTTTAAGCCGCACTCAGCAATATCCAAGCTATAAGACGGTGGTCTGTAAATAATCGAGTCTTGACCAGACAATCCAGTGATTGACATCATGAGCATCGCTCCACGCAATTGGGATCAATGACATGCATCAACCAAGTCAGTGAGCCTGACCAACTGATCCCGTTAGTCACCTTGTACGACACGCATAGTCGCCTTTTACGGCAAGCATGGGTTGCTGAAGACCTATTATACATCACGGGTCGCGGTAACAAGGGGAATATCTAGTTCCTGAGGTGAGGTGAGGTCAGGAGAAGTGGGGTTTAACGTCGCGTTGAAGATTATTGCACTTATTTTGCGACGTGCATGCGCGTATACAAACACTGTATACTGACTCCGAGCCGACCAGTCCTTGTTTTATTCCCTTAATGCCGAGCGCCATCAGGGTAACAACAAGTACCATATTTATAAATGTGCATTAATCTTGAACGCGACGTTCAATCCCACTTCACTTCACCTCACCTTTGTGTACAGCTACAGCTCCAACTCCAAATGCATCTTCCTGTATAGAGTCGCTCTATATATTACTCCTGGTATACCCCAATAGCAGTTCGTATACTTTTGAGATCACACGACGTCATTACTGTTTCCAGGTATACCCAAGAATGCCTAGTTGGGGACACGTGACAGTAGGTTGTATAAGCAGAGGTATATATCAGCTTGGCAGCTCGATGCACGTGCATTCCATGCATATCCAGGAACTGAACAATAATCTGTAACCACGGTCAGCTGGCTCAGAGCACAAAGACAAATCCAAAGCAGGTGAGGTGAAACAGGGTTTAACGTCGTGTTCAAGATTATTGCACTTACATCGGGTCGTGCATGTGTTTGTGTGCGTGCGTGCGTGCGTGCGTGCGTGCGTGCGTACGCCTACTCTTGTACTAGTCCGGACGATTGCCGGTTCTATAGTGCTTGCTCACTGAGATACCATGCAGGAGTTTAACATGGATACCTCACTCAGAAACAGTATACTGACTCCACCCAACCAGTACTTTCAGCCCCTTAATGCCAAGCGCCAGACAGGGTAACACGTACCATCGTTTAACGTCTTCTGGTATGATGTGACCGGGATTCTAACAACCGACCTGCTGCTCTCAGGGCAAACACTCTATCCACTAGACCAGGGAGGCTCAACGGTTTCTTTTAAGTTTCCGCGTTAATTCAAGCAGGTGAGGCGATATGAATTGTCTGGCAGGATTATATATGCTTGTTTTGTGCAACAATTTTAATAGTCTGAGCATCCATCCACTCTGGTAGAACCATGGCACACAAGGTCGCAGTTGAGTGTTGGTTCTCAGTTAGGTTATCCACAATGTAGTGTAGTTTATATTCAACCTCATGATTCTGTTCTGATCAATTTCCTGGACAGGCTAGACGAGCTTGGGTTTGAGCCCCATTACACAATACTGAAAATAGCTGTCCACTCCAATTACTCATGAGCAATGCTGGGATTGTGTATCAAAAGCATATATTCATTTCAGCTACAACTACCAAACCAGATATATTTTTATATTTAAAATTTGGGGCCTGGATTTTCAGTCTGGTACAGTGACACACACTGAGCCAGGTCACAGTTGAGATTTGGTTCTCATCAAGTCTTTCACTGGAGTATCCACACACCTTGGTTTAGCCACCATTCCTTATGGTATTGAACAATTGAGTAAACTACTTCAAGTAATCACAAGACAGGGCTTCTACGGGATGTACTGTTTATTACCAGTTAGATGCATACTGTAGAAGGTACTTTACATTCAGCACAACCATTGGCAAGAAAACAAAAAGACTTCTAGCATATGTAGACTTGAGATGCATTGGACACCACACTCAGGGTGCAGGTAACAACCATCTTGGCCATCTTCCGCATGCCATTCAAAAAACAGTCACATATATTTCAGGCAAACCTTTTTTCCACAGGTGTTTGGTTGGAAGAGTAGCCTCATTCCACAGTGTCTTTCAACAAGCAATTTGAGATACCAAATTGTAGAATGATTTTTTTGTGTCAATAGTCATTCTATGATTGTTATAACTCCCAGCTCCAGGCCAAAAAACAAAAAGCAATGTTCCCCTATGTCAACTGACAAGGGCAGATAACTCAGACTGACTTTGGCCACGACAAACTGACAGTCTCCAACATTGCCATATGAAGCACATTCTACAATTGACAGCCAGAAATAATCATTGTAAGCCTTAAGTCTTTTGTTTTCTTAAAATCATACTTCTACAGAAATGGTTTTGAGATTCTAAAAGAAGAAAGCATGTCTACAATAGGTAAGAAACATCAGTCAATACTCTTGATCTGGGCCTGTACACTTAACTGGAAGGCCCTGAGTATGGATATAACATGGTTTAATGAAGAAATGATAATGGTGAAGACAGCAAGTGAAGGGCGGAGTGATCTAATACTAAATATTCATCATCAGAACCCGAGATCTCTGCAAGGCCAGTTCTTGCTACAGTGAAGTGGCAACCTGCACATTTGCTAAACTCTGTGACCACACATTCCACAGCCACACAACTTCTGGAGATGTTTCCAAAATGGTGGCACCAACATGCTACTCTGGAAAGTCAGTGCTGTCTACATATCTTCTTAAATATACTGGCTTTCAAAACCAAACACATACCCAGAAATGTTAAGCAACATTGTTTTTCATGAAGGTAATACAGATATGCCAAGCGTAAAAAGAGCAAGAATGAGAAAACCTAACAGTACATAACTGTTTCTTCATCACAGAGAAAACATGAATGAATATAGAGATACTTAACTCACAGACCAAAGACAGCTTAATAATGTAGAGTCAATATGAAAACTGCGTATTTACTGTTCAACTTGTGTTGATTGCACTATCCATTGCACTAAGAACCCTGATGGTGAGCTGGTGTGGGCAGGCCCTGCCCCGCCTTCAACACCACAGTCCGCCAGCACATGTACAGTACATTAGGCAGTGCCACACCTCACTACATTTCCTTAACAGTGAATAACCTCATAATTTTGACATGAATTTTGAAAAAGAAAGAACTGAAAACGTATGCTTGGTGTCATGGTTGGATTCATATGAAATTTATTTATAAAATATATAAAAAGTTGAGAAAGTTCATCAATTATGCCTATTGTAGTCTGTCATCATGCATTGCACGTAACTGTACTGCTCTCCCCAGACCTGCCCACGCCGAAGGCAGCCAGACACTTCAAACACACTGACACATCAATGACATGGGCTGTCTGAAGCTTTGTATACACCAATACAAGTGGTTTGGACAGGCAATAAGCATGCATCATGTAAAATACATTATGACCTGTAGCCCTTGCGAGGAAACAGTTGGGTGTTAAAGTGGTTGGATGCACACATACACATAACTCTGTGTACAAAAAGTATTCATTTCTGTAACCAACATTTAATCACAAATGTATAATTTTAAAAATAGTTACACATTTGTTTTATCTGTGTACACGCAATTGAGTAAATCATTACTAGAAATCGTCAAATAACATTAAAATTGTAAATAATAAAACATGCTGAACCTCTGGTTGAGAATAGTATCATTAGCATGATTAGAATGTTATTTTCTAATAAGTAAACAAAGTTTAAAAAAACAATTTGGTTCAAACGACATCCTATGCAACAATTGTAAAAGCTTAATATATGTAATATCTATGTACAGATATTGAAATGACCACAGCGCTCATCAGCTGTACCACACACGGCATTGGTCAGGGTTAAATCAAAGTCGCTATCACATTGTCATCACTGCTGCTAAATACTAAAAACAGCCTGATCCATGCCTATCTGAGATTAAACAAATTCCCAGGAATATCAGTAAGTTTGAATATTAGATTATTTAGAGTGTGACTTCATAAATAAAGGCCGAAAATCATGATCTTCAAATACAGAACATCTTTCTTCTGGTTTAACAAGGTCTTGTTCAAACTCAAGACATAACCTTATTGTAATACACATAGCATGGCAATGGCTCAGCATTAGCATGTATAAATGAAAAATGATATCTACAAATCTATGCCCTATACAGAAACTAATGAAGCAAATAAATAAAGTAGGCAGCAGGTAATATGAATAAAGAAATCCTCACAGAATCCTTCTTCAACAATGTTCAATGGGAGGTTACTCCAGAAAATCATCCAAGGGAGGGAACTCTGCACAATGCAAGCATGGTCGCACACAATCTACGAAGCATTACATAAAGTCTGAACATTCCTGTAATAGTGTGGTCAGGAACTGTTGTGAAGAAACTTGACTTTGTAATTCTTTTCTTCAAGAGTCTATCTGAATAGCCAATTTCTTTTAGGTTCTGGTCAATGACACCCTCTGGGTGTTCAGGCCGGTGAGGGCTTCATTCCTTTCCGGCACGTTTCTTACGTACTGCAAAACAAGACAGCAAAGATGTCAAGTAAGATTAGTTGCCAGCAACTGTAGGGATGAAGTATTCAAAACAAATAAGAAACAGAGATCCACTTGTTGCACAACAAGGGGTACTGTTGTCCTGAGGGCCGATCTCATACATTTGTTTGGGTGTGGGCTATTACCATTATTACTTGTGAGTGACCCCCATCTCAGTTGTCTCCCCATTGGTCACACTATGTTAACATCACTGATTAACTGTTGATGTCACACAATGTTAACATCACTGAATGACTGATGATGTCACACAATGTGAATATCACTGAAAAATGTTTGTTTGATGTTTATCGCTGCACTCAGCAATATTCCAGCCACATGATGGTGATCTGTAAATAATGGAGTCTGGAGCAGACAATCCAGTGATTGACATCATGAACATCTATCTATGCAATTGGGGTAAGATGATCAAGTCAGCAAGTCCAACCACCCTAATGGGTTGCTGATGATCAATTCTAACCTGGATTTTCACCGGTACACAGAATAACTGTTATCACACACACTGGAGATGTAACTGATATCACACATTGGAGATGTAACTGATATCACACACTGGAGATATATAGAATACTAAACGAGCTCCCATGTAATACCAATTTTATGAAACGAGTGAGTAGTTGTGGTATGTGACGAGCAAAAGTGAGTCAGATACCACAACTATTTACGAGTTTCATAAAATTGGTTTTACACGGGAGCGAGTTTAGTATTATATTTATTACTTGCCATTTATAACGTTTTTAGAATTATACTGTTGAGTATGAATAGGCTGACACCTACACGATCCACGGCATAGTCAATTTGAGTTTAACAGAATAATACTTCAAACACGTCAAAAGTTGAAATGTATGAATTAAATACCATACAACGGTCCTACTTTAGAATTCAGGCAGCCGTTCAACAAAATTATCGTAGGGCTAAGTAAGTGAGTGAGTGAGTGAGTATGGTTTTACGCCGCTTTTAGCAATATTCCAGCAATATCACGGCGGGGGACACCAGAAATGAGCTTCGTAGGGCTAAGACTATTGCAACTCACATACTTTAACTTAGACTAACGATTGTCGTTGTGCTACAATACGATCGCCTTGTGGAACAGGCCTTGTACCTCAAAGTTTACAATCACATCACAATACTCGATGACGTAAATTGTGGAATTTTGTTGCACGATCCATCGGCGAAACAATGCCATGTGACATCAGCCTAGCAACAAGGTTGCTGGGGTCATAGAGTGTGCATAAGCTCCTCTCAGTGATATCAACTCCACACACAATGTTGTTGAATAAGCCAAGGGATGTTGAGAGCTTTCAATATTTGTTTGTGAAACGTGTTTCGAGAGTAAATAAGCACGCGTTTTGGTATTACACAATGTGTAATACAGCTGTATGTTTATTAAACTGGTGATCTCTTCAAGGGCAAGTAATAAATAACTGATATCACACACTGGAGAAATAATTGATATCACAAACTGGAGATATAACTGATATCACACACTGGAGATGTAACTGATATCACATGCTGGTGATACAACTGAATAACTGATGATGTCAAACAATGATCACATCACACAACTGCGACATTAATGAACATTTTGACATTGCCATACACATTTGACATGTTTGTTTCAATTGGAATCTTGGCATATTTTGACAATGACTAACTGGCCGGTGCTACTCACAGGCATCATAGTTGGTCTTCAACTTGTCTATGACCCGAAACCTGGGGTCAGGGAACTCAAAGGTTAGACCAAACCGAAGTAGGGTGTTGTTCGCCAGGATCAGCTTCAACAGGTTCATCTCCACCTGGTTGCCAAGCAGCTCAGGTTTCTGGGGAAAAAAGGAGTAGATTCAAGAAAGGATCCTGATATTTAAGGTATGCTGCTCTTTAGTGTTCCTTTGTGAGATGTGTAATGACTGTCCACACCCACATCACCTACTGTCTCCACCCTCATCACCTACAGTCCCCAGCCCCATCACTTACTGTCCCCTCCCCTCATCTCCACTCACCTGGTTGGCGACTCTCAACTCTGTGACGACCTGGTTGGTGTTGATTGCCCGCATCAGCCCCACCAAACACTCCCCGCTGATGTAGTTGGATTCCACATTCACTGTCCGCAGTGTTTTGTTCTCGGACAGTGCTTCTGCTAATTTCTGGGAACAAAATTTCAGAAATTTATCAATTTCAACAATTACAACAATTCCAGGTTAAGAGATAAGGGCTGGAAGAACACTGACATTACTTGAGAAAAAAGCACTGTGTCATTGGTCTTCCCCTTCAGTAGCATTAGGGGATGAATGGGGAACTGGTTACAATTCATCATAAACCTTCAGAGACAACAACACAGCTACCATTACTCACGTACCTTCAGAGAGACAATAACTCGGCTACCATTACTCATGTACCTTCAGAGACAATAACCCGGCTACCATTAATCATGTACCTTCACAGAGACAATAACTCGGCTACCATTACTCATGTACCTTCAGAGACAATAACCCGGCTACCATTACTCATGTACCTTCAGAGACAATAACCCGGCTACCATTAATCATGTACCTTCACCGAGACAATAACTCGGCTACCATTAATCATGTACCTTCAGAGACAATAACCCTGATACCATTACTCATGTACCTTCACAGAGACAATAACCCTGATACCATTAATCATGTACCTTCACAGAGACAATAACTCGGCTACCATTACTCATGTACCTTCAGAGACAATAACCCGGCTACCATTAATCATGTACCTTCACCGAGACAATAACTCGGCTACCATTAATCATGTACCATCAGAGAAAATAACCTGGCTACCATTAATCATGTACCTTCAGAGACAATAACCTGGCTACCATTAATCATGTACCATCAGAGACAATAACCTGGCTACCATTAATCATGTACCTTCAGAGACAATAACCCTGATACCATTACTCATGTACCATCAGATACAATAACCCAGCTACCATTAATCATGTACCTTCAGAGAAAATAACCCTAATACCATTAATCATGTACCATCAGAGACAATAACCCTGATACCATTACTCATGTACCTTCAGAGACAATAACCCGGCTACCATTATTCATGTACCTTCAGAGACAATAACCCTGATACCATTAATCATGTACCTTCACAGAGACAATAACCCTGATACCATTAATCATGTACCTTCAGAGACAATAACCCTGATACCATTAATCATGTACCTTCACAGAGACAATAACCCGGCTACCATTATTCATGTACCTTCAGAGACAATAACCCTGATACCATTAATCATGTACCTTCAGAGACAATAACCCTGATACCATTAATCATGTACCTTCAGAGACAATAACTCGGCTACCATTACTCATGTACCTTCAGAGACAATAACCCGGCTACCATTAATCATGTACCTTCAGAGACAATAACCCTGATACCATTACTCATGTACCTTCAGAGACAATAACTCGGCTACCATTAATCATGTACCTTCAGAGACAATAACCCTGATACCATTAATCATGTACCATCAGAGACAATAACCCGGCTACCATTACTCATGTACCTTCAGAGACAATAACCCTGATACAATTAATCATGTACCTTCAGAGACAATAACCCGGCTACCATTACTCATGTACCGTCAGAGACAATAACTCGGCTACCATTAATCATGTACCATCAGAGACAATAACTCGGCTACCATTAATCATGTACCGTCAGAGACAATAACTCGGCTACCATTAATCATGTACATTCAGAGACAATAACTCGGCTACCATTAATCATGTACATTCAGAGACAATAACTCGGCTACCATTAATCATGTACCGTCAGAGACAATAACCCGGCTACCATTAATCATGTACCTTCACCGAGACAATAACTCGGCTACCATTAATCATGTACCATCAGAGAAAATAACCTGGCTACCATTAATCATGTACCTTCAGAGACAATAACCTGGCTACCATTAATCATGTACCATCAGAGACAATAACCTGGCTACCATTAATCATGTACCTTCAGAGACAATAACCCTGATACCATTACTCATGTACCATCAGATACAATAACCCAGCTACCATTAATCATGTACCTTCAGAGAAAATAACCCTAATACCATTAATCATGTACCATCAGAGACAATAACCCTGATACCATTACTCATGTACCTTCAGAGACAATAACCCGGCTACCATTATTCATGTACCTTCAGAGACAATAACCCTGATACCATTAATCATGTACCTTCACAGAGACAATAACCCTGATACCATTAATCATGTACCTTCAGAGACAATAACCCTGATACCATTAATCATGTACCTTCACAGAGACAATAACCCGGCTACCATTATTCATGTACCTTCAGAGACAATAACCCTGATACCATTAATCATGTACCTTCAGAGACAATAACTCGGCTACCATTACTCATGTACCTTCAGAGACAATAACCCGGCTACCATTAATCATGTACCTTCAGAGACAATAACCCTGATACCATTACTCATGTACCTTCAGAGACAATAACTCGGCTACCATTAATCATGTACCTTCAGAGACAATAACCCTGATACCATTAATCATGTACCATCAGAGACAATAACCCGGCTACCATTACTCATGTACCTTCAGAGACAATAACCCTGATACAATTAATCATGTACCTTCAGAGACAATAACCCTGCTACCATTAATCATGTACCGTCAGAGACAATAACTCGGCTACCATTAATCATGTACCTTCACAGAGACAATAACTCGGCTACCATTAATCATGTACCATCAGAGACAATAACTCGGCTACCATTACTCATGTACCGTCAGAGACAATAACTCGGCTACCATTAATCATGTACCGTCAGAGACAATAACCCGGCTACCATTAATCATGTACCGTCAGAGACAATAACTCGGCTACCATTAATCATGTACCGTCAGAGACAATAACTCGGCTACCATTAATCATGTACCGTCAGAGACAATAACTCGGCTACCATTAATCATGTACCGTCAGAGACAATAACTCGGCTACCATTAATCATGTACCGTCAGAGACAATAACTCGGCTACTATTTGAACCTGTGGTGAGGGGGGTATACCTTGGCTACTTTGTCGGTGGCTGCCACACCTGCCATCTCGAAGATCTTCAGTGTATTGTTTGTTTTCAGGGCCTCGCATACATTAAGTAACTGCTCGATGGAGAGATTCTGGAACAAAGTTACACACGCGACTATTGATTTGTTTCAGTTTCAACACTCCTGGCTCTCCATGAACATCCTAATCAAACCCTCAAAACACGTATACAATAGTTGTTATAACAGCCACACAAAGTCTTCATGACACTTCTTAAATAGTTCTTAAGACTATTTTATCATAGTTCTTAAAATGATTGTGTCATTATTTCCTTTAAGCTAATAGTAAACAGTTCCAAAAAACAGAGCAGACTAATTCACAGGTAGGGCCACACAAACCAGTTTTGTATAATACACACTGAACATGGACTGTCCAGCTGATCTCACCTTGATATTATTGAGGTTAAGGTGTATAAGCTTGGCATCATTGCTCTTCAGCTGCTCTATGCTCTTCTCAATGTCGGTGTCATTCAAGGGCTCGTCCGGGACGGCCTTGAACTGCTGGGCTCGAGCATGACCTGCATCCAATGCACTTGTATTAAACACGGACTGAGAAACAATGACCAGAACAACCGGGGAGCATAGTCTTGCACAGGAAGACCCCCACTCACACAGACTGTCCTCCAAACAGAGAGATTTGAAACAAAACTAAGAGACATTACCATTTTTATTCATGTGGACTTGACTTTGCTCCTAAATTATGGTTCCATTGAAAGAGCAACCAAGAGCAAGAGTCCAGTGAAGACAATAGCAGTCTCTGAGACCTGTTAAAACTTTAATCTAGTCCTTTTGCTTCAATATTAGCTAATGTGATAAAGTGTGTATGGCTTAATTAGGAGAAAAACTTACTCGGTTTCTAAATTTGATGTAGTCCCAGTGTCGGGGGTCAAAAGGATAATGGATACCTCTGTTTAACCAATCAGAATTACGGATTCTTCAATATCATAGTAGAATGCTGGTTAATGTGTAACTATATGACGGCAGCCTGTTCATAATCAATATTTACCAGACAAACCAGTGACTGATACTATGAACAAACATTTCCCCATTGCCGGGTACAATGACATGCAATGAACCAAAGCAGTGAGTCAACTGCTTCATTGAACTGCTTGTACAAGCACAGGTTGGTAGGGATTCTGCCGTATGATGAGTCTATGTGAAGCGATTGAGTGTACGAGGGTAACCTACCTGTGAAGCCGCCCTCACTGATCTTTTCGTCCTGCAAGGAGGCGTAGTACTGAGTCTGGGTCAGCATACTGTGGAAGCCCAGAACAGCTGCAACACATGGAGTACACATGTAGGAAACGCAATAACTCTGGACACTGAAACATATTGATCTGTAGAGCAGTGTGTCGACACAAACACAACACACGGAGACGTAGGAAGGGAGGTAACTCTGCACACTGAAACATACTGATCTGTAGAGCAGTGTGTCGACACAAACACAACACACGGAGACATAGGAAGGGAGGTAACTCTGGACACTGATACATATTGATCTGTAGTGCATTGCGTCGACAAAACACACTGAGACATAGGAAGGGAGGTAACTCTGGACACTGATACATATTGATCTGTAGTGCATTGCGTCGACAAGACACACGGAGACATAGGAAGGGAGGTAACTCTGGACACTGATACATATTGATCTGTAGTGCATTGCGTCGACAAAACACACGGAGACATAGGAAGGGAGGTAACTCTGGACACTGATACATATTGATCTGTAGTGCATTGTGTCGACATAGGAAGGGAGGTAACTCTGGACACTAATACATATTGATCTGTAGTGCAGTGTGTCCACAGAAAGAATACATGGAGATCTAGGAAGGGAGGTAACTCTGGACACTGATACATACTGATCTGTAGTGCAGTGTGTCCACAGAAAGAATACATGGAGGTCTAAGAAGGGAGGTAACTCTGGACACTGATACATACTGATCTGTAGAGCAGTGTGTCGACCCACAAACACAACACATGGATATATAGGAAGGAAGGTAACTCAGTTTGTTTGTTTGTTTAACGCTGCACTCAAAAATATTTCAGCTATATGACAGCGGTCTGTTAATAATAAAGTCTGGACCAGCCAAACCTGTGATTGAGCATCGATCTACGCAATTGTGATCAATGACATGCATCAACCAAGTCAGCGAGCCTGACCACTAGATCCCGGTAGTCGCCTCTTACGACAAGCATAGTCGCCTTTTATGGCAAGTATGGGTTGCTGAAGACCTATTCTACTCCGGGATCTTCACGGGTCGAAGGTAACTCTATACACTGATACATACTGATCTGTAGTGCAGTGTGTCGACAACACATGGACACCTACCGTAAGGGAGATAACTTCTACTACAAGGCAAGTGCCACATGCAAAATATGGTGGGCGTGTACTACGTGGTTAAGTATGGTTGGAGCGTACCACATAGTAGTTATGGCGAGAGTGAACTCCGTGGGAGCGTAGGGTGGGAGCGTACCACATGGAAGTTATGGTGAGAGTGTACTACGTGGGTAAGTATGGTGAGAGTGTACTACGTGGCTAAGTATGGTGGGAGCATACCACGTGGAAGGTATGGTGAGAGTGTTCTACGTGGGTAAGTATGGTGAGAGTGTACTATGTGGGTAAGTATGGTGAGAGTGTACCACATGGAAGGTATGGTGAGAGTGTACTACGTGGGTAAGTATGGTGAGAGTGTACTAAGTGGGTAAGTATGGCGAGAGTGTACTATGTGGGTAAGTATGGCGAGAGTGTACTACGTGAGTAAGTATGGCGAGAGTGTACTACGTGGGTAAGTATGGCGAGACGGTACTACGTGGGTAAGTATGGCAAGAGTGTACTATGTGGGTAATTATGACGAGAGTGTTCTACGTGGGTAAGTATGGTGAGAGTGTACTACGTGGGTAAGTATGGTGGGAGCGTACCACGTGGAAGGTATGGTGAGAGTGTACTACGTGGGTAAGTATGGCGAGAGTGTACTACGTGGGTAATTATGACGAGAGTGTACTACGTGGGTAATTATGACGAGAGTGTTCTACGTGGGTAAGTATGGTGAGAGTGTACTAAGTGGGTAAGTATGGCGAGAGTGTACTAAGTGGGTAAGTATGGTGAGAGTGTACTACGTGGGTAAGTATGGCGAGAGTGTACTACGTGGGTAATTATGACGAGAGTGTACTATGTGGGGAAGTATGGTGAGAGTGTACTATGTGGGTAAGTATGGTGAGAGTGTACCACATGGAAGGTATGGTGAGAGTGTACGACGTGGAAGGTATGGTGAGAGTGTACTACGTGGGTAAGTATGGTGGGAGCATACCACGTGGAAGTTATGGTCAGAGTGTAGTAGGGGGGTAAGTATGGTGAGAGTGTATCACATGGAAGGTATGGTGAGAGTGTTCTACGTGGGTAAGTATGGTGAGAGTGTACTACGTGGGTAAGTATGGTGAGAGTGTACCACCTGGAAGGTATGGTGAGAGTGTACTAAGTGGGTAAGTATGGCGAGAGTGTACTACGTGGGTAAGTATGGCGAGAGTGTACTACGTGGGTAAGTATGGCAAGAGTGTACTATGTGGGTAAGTATGGTGAGAGTGTACTACGTGGGTAAGTATGGCGAGAGTGTACTACGTGGGTAAGTATGGCGAGAGTGTACTATGTGGGTAAGTATGGCGAGACGGTACTTCGTGGGTAAGTATGGCAAGAGTGTACTATGTGGGTAAGTATGGTGAGAGTGTACTACGTGGGTAAGTATGGTGAGACGGTACTACGTGGGTAAGTATGGTGAGAGTGTTCTACGTGGGTAAGTATGGTGAAAGTGAACTACGTGGGTAAGTATGGCGAGAGTGTACTACGTGGGTAAGTATGGTGAAAGTGTACTATGTGGGTAAGTATGGTGAGAGTGTACCACCTGGAAGGTATGGTGAGAGTGTACTACGTGGGTAAGTATGGCGAGAGTGTACTACGTGGGTAAGTATGGCGAGAGTGTACTACGTGGGTAAGTATGGCGAGACGGTACTACGTGGGTAAGTATGGCAAGAGTGTACTATGTGGGTAAGTATGGTGAGAATGTACAAAGTGGGTAAGTATGGCGAGACGGTACTACGTGGGTAAGTATGGCGAGAGTGTACTTCCAGGGTAAGTATGGAGAGAGTGTACAAAGTGGGTAAGTATGGTGATAGTGTACTATGTGGGTAAGTATGGTGGGAGTGTACCACATGGAAGGTATGGTGAGTGAGTGAGTGAGTATGGTTTTACGCCGCTTTTAGCAATATTCCAGCAATATCACGGCGGGGGACACCAGAAATGGGCTTCACACATTGTACCCATGTCGGGAATCGAACCCGAGTCTTCGGCGTGACGAGCGAACGCTTTAATCACTAGGCTACCCGACAGCCCTGAAGGTATGGTGAGAGTGTACTACGTGGGTAAGTACGGTGAGAGTGTACTACGTGGGTAAGTATGGTGGGAGTGTACCACATGGAAGGTATGGTGAGAGTGTACAACATGGGTAAGTATGGTGAGAGTGTACTACGTGGGTAAGTATGGCGAGAGTGTACTATGTGGGTAAGTATGGTGAGACGGTACTACGTGGGTAAGTATGGTGAGAGTGTTCTACGTGGGTAAGTATGGTGAAAGTGAACTACGTGGGTAAGTATGGCGAGAGTGTACTACGTGGGTAAGTATGGTGAAAGTGTACTATGTGGGTAAGTATGGTGAGAGTGTACCACCTGGAAGGTATGGTGAGAGTGTACTACGTGGGTAAGTATGGCGAGAGTGTACTACGTGGGTAAGTATGGCGAGAGTGTACTACGTGGGTAAGTATGGCGAGACGGTACTACGTGGGTAAGTATGGCAAGAGTGTACTATGTGGGTAAGTATGGTGAGAATGTACAAAGTGGGTAAGTATGGCGAGACGGTACTACGTGGGTAAGTATGGCGAGAGTGTACTTCCAGGGTAAGTATGGAGAGAGTGTACAAAGTGGGTAAGTATGGTGATAGTGTACTATGTGGGTAAGTATGGTGGGAGTGTACCACATGGAAGGTATGGTGAGTGAGTGAGTGAGTATGGTTTTACGCCGCTTTTAGCAATATTCCAGCAATATCACGGCGGGGGACACCAGAAATGGGCTTCACACATTGTACCCATGTCGGGAATCGAACCCGAGTCTTCGGCGTGACGAGCGAACGCTTTAATCACTAGGCTACCCGACAGCCCTGAAGGTATGGTGAGAGTGTACTACGTGGGTAAGTACGGTGAGAGTGTACTACGTGGGTAAGTATGGTGGGAGTGTACCACATGGAAGGTATGGTGAGAGTGTACAACATGGGTAAGTATGGTGAGAGTGTACTACGTGGGTAAGTATGGTGGGAGTGTACCACATGGACGGTATTGTGAGAGTGTACTACGTGGGTAAGTATGGTGAGAGTGTACTACATGGGTAAGTATGGTGAGAGTGTACTACGTGGGTAAGTATGGTGGGAGTGTACCACATGGAAGGTATTGTGAGAGTGTACTACGTGGGTAAGTATGGTGAGAGTGTACCACATGGAAGGTATGGTGAGAGTGTACTACGTGGGTAAGTATGGTGAGAGTGTACTACGTGGGTAAGTATGGTAAGAGTGTACTACGTGGGTAAGTATGGTGAGAGTGTACCACATGGAAGGTATGGTGAGAGTGTACTACGTGGGTAAGTATGGTGAGAGTGTACTACGTGGGTAAGTATGGTAAGAGTGTACTACGTGGGTAAGTATGGTGAGAGTGTACCACATGGAAGGTATGGTGAGAGTGTACTACGTGGGTAAGTATGGTGGGAGTGTACCACATGGAAGGTATGGTAAGAGTGTACTACGTGGGTAAGTATTGTGGGAGTGTACCACATGGAAGGTATTGTTAGAGTGTACTACGTGGGTAAGTATGGTGGGAGTGTACTACGTGGGTAAGTATTGTGGGAGTGTACCACATGGAAGGTATGGTGAGAGTGTACTACGTGGGTAAGTATGGTGGGAGTGTATCACATGGAAGGTATGGTGAGAGTGTACTACGTGGGTAAGTATGGTGAGAGTGTATCACATGGAAGGTATGGTGAGAGTGTACCACATGGAAGGTATGGTGAGAGTGTTCTACGTGGGTAAGTATGGTGAGAGTGTACTACGTGGGTAAGTATGGTGAGAGTGTATCACATGGAAGGTATGGTGAGAGTGTACCACATGGAAGGTATGGTGAGAATGTACTACGTGGGTAAGTATGGGGAGAGTGTACCACATGGAAGGTATGGTGAGAGTGTACCACATGGAAGGTATGGTGAGAATGTACTACGTGGGTAAGTATGGGGAGAGTGTACCACATGGAAGGTATGGTGAGAGTGTACTACGTGGGTAAGTATGGTGAGAGTGTACTACGTGGGTAAGTATGGGGAGAGTGTACCACATGGAAGGTATGGTGAGAGTGTACTACGTGGGTAAGTATGGTGGGAGTGTATCACATGGAAGGTATTGTGAGAGTGTACTACGTGGGTAAGTATGGTGAGAGTGTACTACGTGGGTAAGTATGGTGAGAGTGTATCACATGGAAGGTATGGTGAGAGTGTACCACATGGAAGGTATGGTGAGAGTGTACCACATGGAAGGTATGGTGAGAGTGTACCACATGGAAGGTATGGGGAGAGTGTACCACATGGAAGGTATGGTGAGAGTGTACCACATGGAAGGTATGGTGAGAGTGTACCACATGGAAGGTATGGGGAGAGTGTACCACATGGAAGGTATGGTGAGAATGTACTACGTGGGTAAGTATGGTGAGAGTGTACTACGTGGGTAAGTATGGTGAGAGTGTACTACGTGGGTAAGTATGGGGAGAGTGTACCACATGGAAGGTATGGTGAGAGTGTACTACGTGGGTAAGTATGGTGGGAGTGTATCACATGGAAGGTATGGTGAGAGTGTACTACGTGGGTAAGTATGGTGAGAGTGTACTACGTGGGTAAGTATGGTGAGAGTGTATCACATGGAAGGTATGGTGAGAGTGTACCACATGGAAGGTATGGTGAGAGTGTACCACATGGAAGGTATGGTGAGAGTGTACCACATGGAAGGTATGGTGAGAGTGTACCACATGGAAGGTATGGTGAGAGTGTACCACATGGAAGGTATGGTGAGAGTGTACCACATGGAAGGTATGGTGAGAGTGTTCTACGTGGGTAAGTATGGTGAGAGTGTATCACATGGAAGGTATGGTGAGAGTGTACCACATGGAAGGTATGGTGAGAGTGTACTATGTGGGTTAGTATGGTGAGAGTGTATCACATGGAAGGTATGGTGAGAGTGTACCACATGGAAGGTATGGTGAGAGTGTACTATGTGGGTTAGTATGGTGAGAGTGTACTACGTGGGTAAGTATGGTGAGAGTGTATCACATGGAAGGTATGGTGAGAGTGTACCACATGGAAGGTATGGTGAGAGTGTACTATGTGGGTTAGTATGGTGAGAGTGTACTACGTGGGTAAGTATGGTGAGAGTGTATCACATGGAAGGTATGGTGAGAGTGTACCACATGGAAGGTATGGTGAGAGTGTACCACATGGAAGGTATGGTGAGAGTGTACCACATGGAAGGTATGGGGAGAGTGTTCTACGTGGGTAAGTATGGTGAGAGTGTACCACATGGAAGGTATGGTGAGAGTGTACTACGTGGGTAAGTATGGTGAGAGTGTACCACATGGAAGGAATGGTGAGAGTGTACTACATGGGTAAGTATGGCGAGAGTGTACTACGTGGGTAAGTATGGTGAGAGTGTTCTACGTGGGTAAGTATGGTGAGAGTGTACTACGTGGGTAAGTATGATGGGAGTGTATCACATGGAAGGTATGGTGAGAGTGTACTACATGGGTAAGTATGGCGAGAGTGTTCTACGTGGGTATGTATGGTGAGAGTGTTCTACGTGGGTAAGTATGATGGGAGTGTATCACATGGAAGGTATGGTGAGAATGTACTACGTGGGTAAGTAAGGTGGGAGCGTACGGTGCGAGTGTATGTGGGAGCATGGGGTTGGCATGTACAGTGTGAGTGTACTCACCGGCCAGGTCTACCAACTCCTCCTCTGAAGCCTCCGTAAGGATGTCGTCCCACTCTGTGTCAATGTTGAAGTCACCATCATCGTTGCTCTTCTTTGGCTTCTCCTCCTCCTTCTTCTTGAACACTTTGCCTGTACAACAACCAGACACAGGGCAAAGTCAGCATTCATTGAAAGCAACAAATAGAAACCAACAAACATAGATAACTTCTTTGTCCTCCAAAATCTGACGCCACCATCCGCAGCATTACTGAACACCAACGTAATGGAGACAAAACGTCATGTCCTTGATTCATTGATCCTGAAAACTGTTACTACAGACAAAGAAGGTTTCATTGTTAAATCTCTAAGTCGGTGGAGATCTAACCTCTTTCAACAAAGTATGCATGACTTCTTACAAGTTAAATGACTGGCCTGTCTTTTAAGCCTAGTTTGCAATACATTGAAATGAGTGTTTTTGAAACCAAACTTAACCCCTGGCAGGGAATGGTAGCAGGTTACCTCGGGTCTCCTTCACATAGCTCTTGTTCTGCTCCCAGTCCTTCTCCTGCTTGGCCTGGTTCTCGATGAACTTGAGCAGCTTCTGGCGGTTGAAGGGTCCAGTCGGCTCCTTCGACGTCTGGTCCCTGCATCTCAGGCCAGGGGGCAGCAGGGAGTTCTGACAATAGAAGGTGATTGTAGTAGTGTCAGATGATGACAGAGGGTGATTGTAGTAGTGTCAGATGACAGAGGGTGATTGTAGTAGTGTCAGATGACAACAGATGATGATTGGAGTAGTGTCAGATGACGACAGAAGGTGATTGTAGTAGTGTCAGATGATGAAGGTGATTGTAGTAGTGTCAGATGATGACAGAGGGTGATTGTAGTAATGTCAGATGATGAGGGTGATTGTAGTAGTGTCAGATGATGACAGAGGGTGATTGTAGTAGTGTCAGATGATGAAGGTGATTGTAGTAGTGTCAGATGATGACAGAGGGTGATTGTAGTAATGTCAGATGATGACAGAGGGTGATTGTAGTAGTGTCAGATGACGACAGAGGGTGATTGTAGTAGTGTCAGATGACGACAGAGGGTGATTGTAGTAATGTCAGATGATGAAAGAAGGTGATTGTAGTAATGTCAGATGATGACAGAGGGTGATTGTAGTAGTGTCAGATGACGACAGAGGGTGATTGTAGTAGTGTCAGATAATGACAGAAGGTGATTGTAGTAATGTCAGATGATGACAGAGGGTGATTGTAGTAGTGTCAGATGACGACAGAAGGTGATTGTAGTAATGTCAGATGATGACAGAGGGTGATTGTAGTAGTGTCAGATGATGACAGAAGATCATTGTAGTAGTGTCAGATGACGACAGAGGGTGATTGTAGTAGTGTCAGATGACGACAGAGGGTGATTGTAGTAGTGTCAGATGACGACAGAGGGTGATTGAAGTAGTGTCAGATGACGACAGAAGGTGATTGTAGTAGTGTCAGATGACAACAGAAGGGGATTGTAGTAGTGTCAGATGACGACAGAAGGTGATTGTAGTAATGTCAGATGACAACAGAAGGGGATTGCAGTAGTGTCAGATGATGACAGAAGGGGATTGTAGTAGTGTCAGATGATAACAGAAGGTGATTGTAGTAATGTCAGATGATGACAGAGGGTGATTGTAGTAGTGTCAGATGATGACAGAAGGTGATTGTAGTAGTGTCAGATGATGACAGAAGGTGATTGTAGTAATGTCAGATGATGACAGAGGGTGATTGTAGTAGTGTCAGATGATGACAGAAGGTGATTGTAGTAGTGTCAGATGATGACAGAAGGTGATTGTAGTAATGTCAGATGATGACAGAAGGTGATTGTAGTAATGTCAGATGATGACAGAGGGTGATTGTAGTAGTGTCAGATGACGACAGAAGGGGATTGTAGTAGTGTCAGATGATGACAGAAGGGGATTGTAGTAGTGTCAGATGATTACAGAAGGTGATTGTAGTAGTGTCAGATGATGACAGAGGGTGATTGTAGCAGTGTCAGATGATTACAGAAGGTGATTGTAGTAGTGTCAGATGACGACAGAGGGTGATTGTAGTAGTGTCAGATGATGACAGAAGGTGATTGTAGTAATGTCAGATGATGACAGAGGGTGATTGTAGTAGTGTCAGATGATGACAGAGGGTGATTGTAGTAGTGTCAGATGATTACAGAAGGGGACTGTAGTAGTGTCAGATGATTACAGAAGGTGATTGTAGTAGTGTCAGATGATGACAGAGGGTGATTGTAGTAGTGTCAGATGATTACAGAAGGTGATTGTAGTAGTGTCAGATGACGACAGAGGGTCAATTCAGTAGAGTCATATGACGCTTGAGGTCATTGTAGTAGAGTCAGATGATGACAGGGTGATTGTAGTAATGTCAGATGAAGACAGAGAGTCATTGTAGTAGAGTCATATGACGCTGGAGGTCATTGTAGTAGTGTCAGATGACGACGGAAGGTGATTGTAGTAGTGTCGGATGACAACAGAAGGGGATTGTAGTAGTGTCAGATGACGACAGAAGGTGATTGTAGTAATGTCAGATGATGACAGAAGGTGATTGTAGTAGTGTCAGATGATGACAGAGGGTGATTGTAGTAGTGTCAGATGACGACAGAGGGTGATTGTAGTAGTGTCAGATGATGACAGAGGGTGATTGTAGTAGTGTCAGATGACGACAGAGGGTGATTGTAGTAGTGTCAGATGGCGACAGAGGGTGATTGTTGTTGTGTCAGATGACGACAGAAGGTCGATGAAGTAGTGTCAGAGGATGACAGAGGTGATTGTAGTAGTGTCATATGACGACGGAGGTCATTGTAGTAGTTGTGATAATTACCCTAGATCCATTCACTAAATTTGCTCGGCTTTGGGTTTCAATTTACATTACACTGAAAATAGCTTTTCATCCAAATTACACTTCTGGGCGAGAAAGTCTCTTTGAAAATCTTTTGAGGGGATGATATAGTGATGACACCTCTAAAGCGGAGGTACAATTGGGACATGGGACAAGACAAGTACATAGCCAGCCTTGGTGACAGGAACAAGACACTCACATCGGGGTCAAAGTCTCCGTTGAGTTCCTCCAACTCCTCGGTTGTGAGCTGAGTCAGGAGATCGTCGAGGTCCTCCAACTCGATGTCCGGGACTTCCTTGTCCTTGTCCTTGTGCAGAATAGCCGACATCGCAGAGGTCAGGTCTGCAACATACAACACATCATGTTATACATATTTATACATTGCTAATTCCACACAATACATGCCAATAGGAAATACAATTATGTAGAATAATGATGCCAATACAACTGTGGTTTGATTCTGATCATTAGAATCATGGACCAACCTGTGTCTTAAGTCTAGACCACCCACCATCAGGGTGGTCTGTGTCTGGACCATCCACCATCAGGGTGGCCTGTGTCTGGACCACCCACCATCAGGGTGGTCTGTGTCTGGACCATCCACCATCAGGGTGGCCTGTGTCTGGACCATCCACCATCAGGGTGGTCTGTGTCTAGACCATCCACCATCAGGGTGGCCTGTGTCTGGACCATCCACCATCAGGCTGGCCTGTGTCTGGACCATCCACCATCAGGCTGGCCTGTGTCTGGACCATCCACCATCAGGGTGGCCTGTGTCTGGACCATCCACCATCAGGGTGGCCTGTGTCTGGACCATCCACCATCAGGGTGGCCTGTGTCTAGACCATCCATCATCAGGGTGACCTGTGTCTGGACCATCCACCATCAGGGTGGCCTGTGTCTGGACCATCCACCATCAGGCTGGCCTGTGTCTGGACCATCCACCATCAGGGTGGTCTGTGTCTGGACCATCCACCATCAGGGTGGCCTGTGTCCGGACCATCCACCATCAGGGTGGTCTGTGTCCGGACCATCCACCATCAGGGTGGTCTGTGTCTGGACCATCCACCATCAGGGTGGTCTGTGTCTGGACCATCCACCATCAGGCTGGCCTGTGTCTGGACCATCCACCATCAGGGTGGCCTGTGTCTGGACCATCCACCATCAGGATGGCCTGTGTCTGGACCATCCACCATCAGGGTGGTCTGTGTCTGGACCATCCACCATCAGGCTGGCCTGTGTCTGGACCATCCACCATCAGGGTGGTCTGTGTCTGGACCATCCACCATCAGGGTGGTCTGTGTCTGGACCATCCACCATCAGGGTGGTCTGTGTCTGGACCATCCACCATCAGGGTGGTCTGTGTCTGGACCATCCACTATCAGGCTGGCCCATCCACCATCAGGCTGGCCTGTGTCTGGACCATCCACCATCAGGCTGGCCTGTGTCTAGACCATCCACCATCAGGCTGGCCTGTGTCTGGACCATCCACCATCAGGCTGGCCTGTGTCTGGACCATCCACCATCAGGCTGGCCTGTGTCTGGACCATCCACCATCAGGCTGGCCTGTGTCTGGACCATCCACCATCAGGCTGGCCTGTGTCTGGACCATCCACCATCAGGCTGGCCTGTGTCTGGACCATCCGCCATCAGGCTGGCCTGTGTCTGGACCATCCGCCATCAGGCTGGCCTGTGTCTGGACCATCCGCCATCAGGCTGGCCTGTGTCTGGACCATCCACCATCAGGCTGGCCTGTGTCTGGACCATCCGCCATCAGGCTGGCCTGTGTCTGGACCATCCGCCATCAGGCTGGCCTGTGTCTGGACCATCCACCATCAGGCTGGCCTGTGTCTGGACCATCCACCATCAGGCTGGCCTGTGTCTGGACCATCCACCATCAGGGTGGCCTGTGTCTGGACCATCCACCATCAGGCTGGCCTGTGTCTGGACCATCCACCATCAGGATGGCCTGTGTCTAGACCATCCACCATTAGGACACAATGACACAAGATTGTGTGAGTCACAGAGGCTGACGATCTACATGATCTAGTCTGATGTTGGGTTACTGGGATCTTCCAATATCTAAATGTATTTCTGTGTAAACTTGCAAGGGAACACATGCCACATCACCTACAGCCACTGATGATGGGGGTGTAGGATTGGGCATACCATGGTGACTGGGACTGTTCTTCATACCTACCATTGCAGACCTCATTGTCCCTTGGCATGTTTAGAGAGGGTAGGAATGGAGTGTTTTCAGGGCAGGGCATGTTTAGAGAGGGTAGGATGAAGTGTTTTCAGGGCAGGGCATGTTTAGAGAGGGTAGGAATGGAGTGTTTTCAGGGCAGGGCATGTTTAGAGAGGGGAGGATGGAGTGTTTTCAGGGCAGGGCATGTTTAGAGAGGTTAGGAATGGAGTGTTTTCAGGGCAGGGCATGTTTAGAGAGGGTAGCGTGAAGTGTTTTCAGGGCAGGGCATGTTTAGAGAGGGTAGGAATTGAGTGTTTTCAGGGCAGGGCATGTTTAGAGAGGGTAGCGTGAAGTGTTTTCAGGGCAGGGCATGTTTAGAGAGGGTAGGAATGGAGTGTTTTAAGGGCAGGGTACTAGTCGGGACGTTTAGGTGTGCCCACAAGAGGAACGTTTTTTTTAGGAAATTTTAAATTCTGTTGATTAATTGGTTACCCATGTTCATATTTTCACATGTTTTTGAACAGTCCATCACTGGCTTCACATAATAAAAGTTGTCACAAGGCATATATACATTTATAAAAATGTGATTTTGTGCTTTTTAGCATGTTATTGTCAAAGCATTGAGAATGTATTTTAACCGTGTGATCATGTTTTTAAGCTTGCCAATAGGCACTTTTATAAGGAATTTTGAACCGTGAAGAGTGTTTCTACATTTCCTATGTTAAAGCAAATAGAGTTTGAGCGAGTAGTTTAATGCTGTAATTAGTGATATGAGCGAGTAGTTTAATGCTGTAATTAGTGATATGAATGATGAAACACAATCCTAGAAAACAGTGGACCAGCCCTAAAGAACATTCTATGATGACTAAGACAACCATACTGACTGACAGTACCTGACAAGGTTCACTAAGTTCATCACGGAACACAAGTACCTGCTGCTGAAGACAGTACGAGGTAACTGCCTCTCACCATGTCACTCACTCAAACATGTCACATAATGATGAGAGTATAAAAATTGTTGTGAACACTGTCGTCAAAATATTACATAAAACTCTCCACCCCTCTCTGTGCCAGTCTGCAGTAATCCAATCCCTAATACAATCTAAACGATTCCAAGGACAAATGGCAATACTGGCCATGATGATGAGACACAGGAAAATATCCAAACTTACCGGCCATTTTGAAAGTTTGCTTGTTTATCTGTGTTGATGTATAATTCTATAAGCCAGGGGAGAGGTAAATCCACCAGAGTAATGGAAACACGACAAGAGTTTGGTGCGCTACCTATGATGTAAAGAATAAGCCACACACTGCCGGTGCAGTTGGGCTGAGTATTGAGGCTCCCCACCCGTGGGGGAGCACAGCGTAACTTACACAATTACATTCTAGGGTTACAAATCTATTTCCACTACCATAGACCCATGAAATAAAAGGTATCATGTTTTAATGTTTAACATGTGATAAAAACATAGATATGAACATAAACCGTTGGGATGACCACTTTGACTGTAAGCATCATTAATACCATAGTTACTTGCAATTAACTCTCCATCTCATTTACTTTGAAAAAGCCTTACAATTCTTAGATCAGATCAGGGGTTTTGACCAAAGAATCAAGAAAAATTCGTTCAAAGTGTTGACAGTATTTGTGTTTAAATATTTTAAGTACATGTACACAAGTGTTGTGGTCCATTGACATGAATAAGCACTGGGCATGAGTTGCATCCACATTGTCTATTATTCAAACAAAGTGAAAAAAACACCTGATTTTCTCATAGGACTACTAGGGGTGAAACAATACACCGTTGCATTGAGAGTTTTCATGCCACGATACGATACACAATACGCCTTTTCAGTATTGATACATGACAATACACTTGCTTAAGTAAATAACTTCCTCATTGAATGACCTGGAGCAATTTTGTCAGTGAGATATTGCAAAATGTGCTGAAATTAAGTGTTTCAAGTTCAGTAGAGAAAATAGCTGCTTTCCTTTTGAACCTGCTCGGATATATTTATAGTCAATCCTTGTGATTTGATGTAAATATGCATATCGCAATATGTATCGTATCGTGACCTATGTATCGCAATATGTATCGTATCGTGACCTATGTATCGCACTATGTATCGTATCATGACCTTCCTGTATTGTATTCATTGCCATGACAGATTAACTCGTCATATGAACAAATCAGGTGTTGTTTAATTCTTTTGAGTAGTAAACATGCTGTAGCAAGAACATGAAGAATGAAAACAACCATCCCAACACATCCAATGACGTCCACAGAGCTACGGATAAGCTGCGTATTTGCGTAAAATACACCCCAAAACTAATCAAAACCCAATTACTTTCAATGAACTTGCGTAGAGAAACACATGAAAAAAATGAAAAACTCAATTGTTTGAAAACAGCACACGTAAATACCCAATGAAGCTTTTTCAGCATGTGGAGCTAATTTCCGTAACTTAGTTACGTGCTAATTTACTTTCTTACTCATTTAGGGATAAAAACCAATAGAGTGATGAATAGATAAGTGAAAAATCCAATGAAAAATGTAATCATGGTAATAACCCAATTAAAATAGAAACCTTCAAGTAAAAACTCAATTGCTCAAAAAGTTAGCTGGAGCTCTGCGTCCATCAAAAAGGGAAGGTTTTGTGACACGTCCACAAACCAATTACCAGCTGTTTGATTGTTTGTTGTTTAAAGCCACACTCAGCAAATGTTCCAGCTATATGATGGCGGTCTGTAAATTATCGAGTCTGGACCAGACAATCCAGTGATTGATATCATGAGCATCAATCCAAGCAATTGGAATACGATGACATGCATCAACCAAGTCAGCGAGCCTGACCACCCGATCCCATTAGTTGCCTCTTAGGACAAATATAGTCACCTTTTACGGCACGCATGGGTTGCTGAAGACCTATTCTCTACCTGGGTCTTCAAGGGTCCAATAACGAGCTGGCCAACATTGTAGCAATGTGAGAATTAAGTCCACATCTTAAGAGTGATGATTAAGCAGATGACCAGGGTGAGATATTATTGTTTGTTTTCACTAGAGCACATAACTGATCTGCTACAGAGTTGCCATCTACCCAATGGTGAAAGTGGCAGTCCGTAAGAAATATCCCTAGTCCTGCTACAGAGTTG